GGGAGATATGACTTTAACTTCTAGGATGTCACATGTAGTTGATGGTCATGGTGTACATTCTCAGAGGGCACACACATATTCAGCCCAGCCTTCAGGAACAGGACATTATGAAAATGTGCCCCTTGGTCCAAGATACCATTATCTTCAGACAGAAAGAGAATTCAGTCCAGCCTCACGCCCAGAGTTAGTGCCTAGGATGGAGAAGCTGCATACCCAAGAGCAGATTTATCGAGGCCCTAAGCCTACAATTCCCAGCTTGACAGCAGCTGACCCAAGACAGTTTTCCAGACTACGTACGGCACTGGAGAATATTCTGCCAGCAGATGCGAGTGAACGTTTTAAGTATCAGATTCTGACAGATCGTTTGGAGCTTGAAGAGGCTCTCCTGGTGGCAGACTCCTACTGTAATTCTGTGAGACCCTACACAGACACGATGCACGCTCTGGTTAAGATGTACGGTCAGCCCCACAAGCTCGTTCTGCAGAGTATCGTAGAAGTGCTGGAAAGTCCCAACCTTAAGTCAGGAGATGTTAAATCTTTTAAGCTCTTTGCTCTCCGAGTGCGATCATTAGTGAGTATGTTGGAACAATTGGGGCCAGAGGGAGTCGCCGAATTGGACTGTGGCTCACATGTGTCTCGTCTCCAGAGCAAGCTTCCCCATGAGCTGCAAATCAGTTTTAAGAGATATATCCATCCCTTAAGGATCACAGTCCCTACACTTCTACACTTTGCTGACTGGTTAGAATACGAGCTCCAAGTACAAGATGACACAGCCAAAGCAGTCATGTATGCCCCACCCTTACCTTTCAAGCGGAGAGAAGGTCGTCATGAACACAAGCCTTCAGGGAGATCAACAAATATTCTACTAGGTGCTGGAAAGCCCACTGCCCCCACTGAATGCCGAATACCTACGTTAGATTCCAAGCCCAGTTCTACTAAGTATAGAGAGAAGTCACACGCCTACTGTCCTTACTGTGACAACTCCAGCCACTTCCTCAATGGGTGTCTTAACTTCAAAGAGCTAACAAAGGAACAGAAAGAGGCATGGATTCGTAAGAATAATAGGTGCTGGCGGTGTGGACGTAATCATCATGCATCCAGATGCACATTAAAGGCTCTGTGTAAGACGTGCAACAGAAAACACCTGCTTGTATTGCATGATCTAAATGAGAGAGTTGTCAGTACTAGTGAAGAGACTGAACCTAAGGAGAACTCGTGCCTTGTGAATACCACAAAGGGCACCTTATATGCAGATCGTTCAGTTGGCAGCCGCAGAGTGCTCTTGAAGGTGAGTAAAGTAATCATTGCAAATGGAGATGCATCAATGGAGACTTTTGCTGTGTTAGATGATGGGTCAGAAAGGACCATTCTACTTCATGCTGCAGCTCAGCAGCTGAAACTCCAGGGCCAGCCAGAAGACCTCATACTGCGCACTGTAAGACAGGATCAGCAGGTGCTTCATGGGACAACAGTTTCCTTCACAGTCTCACCGGTGTCTCACCCCCACAAAAAGTACCACATTCAGCATGCATTTACAGCCGAAAGACTGAGCCTTGCTGAACACACTTATCCAGTGGCTTTCTTACAGAAGAAATATAGACATCTAGCTGGTCTCCCATTGCAACAGATGGATAAAGTGCAGCCTGTATTGTTGATTGGGTCAGATTACCCACATCTCCTCACGCCTGTTGAACCAGTACGTCTAGGCCCACCAGGGGGCCCAGCAGCAGTTAAAACCCGCTTGGGATGGACTCTTCAAGGCCCTACACAGGAGGTCCGTCGTGAGCTTAGCACACACCAGTGCTTCTTTACCTCTGTACTACCTAACACAGACCTGTTTGCTCACGTTGAGCGATTGTGGCAGATGGATGTGATACCCTATCGCAACAACAAGATAGTGACACGATCCAAGCTAGACAAGGAAGCAATCAGTCTGTTGCAAGAGAACACTGTGAGAGTAGAAGTACAGGGCACAATGCGGTATGCCACACCGCTCCTCCGAATGCAGAGTATGCCTTGTTTGAACATGCCCAAGGAAGCCGTTCTCCCTCAGCTTAGGAGTGTTGAGAGGAGGCTGCTAAAAAACCCAGAGCAAGCATCTGCCTACCAGGCTGAGATTACTAGATTGAAGGAAGCAGGCTATGTGGCTAAGCTAGAACCAAGAGAAGCGGATTGCTCTAAAGAGTCTTGGTACATCCCCCACCATATGGTGCAGCACAATAATAAGAATAGAGTCGTCTACAACTGCTCCTTTCAATTTGAAGGCCACAGCCTTAATGACTTTCTCCTGCCAGGCCCCACATTAAGCCCATCACTGTTGGCAGTGCTGCTTCGATTCCGAGAGCACCCTGTTGCTATAAGTAGCGACATTCGCGGTATGTTTCACCAAGTCAGGCTGCTCCCTGGTGACATGCCCTTGCTTCGATTTTTGTGGCGAGACTTAAAGCCTTATCTACCCCCTGATGTGTACCAGTGGCAGGTACTTCCCTTTGGCACCACTTGCAGTCCCTGCTGTGCCTCATATGCCCTGCAGACTCACGTTATAAATCACAGTCAGCCAGGAGATCGATTTAGAGAGGTAATTGAGAAATCATTCTATGTCGACAATTGCCTCCACAGTCTTCATTCTCCTAGAGAGGCTAAAGACCTTGTTGACGGACTTTGTGCTCTCCTAGCCAGTGGAGGATTTGAGCTTCGACAATGGGCTAGCAATTGTCCATCTGTGATTACTCACCTTCCTCCAGAATCCAGATCTAGTACCTGCGAACTGTGGCTCAGCCAAGACCAACAAGATGTCCATGAGTCCACGCTTGGACTGCAGTGGCATTGCCAAACTGATACACTGCGCTACAAACACAGAGCTAGGAGCTCTGCGCCAGTGACTATGCGCCACATATACAGAGTACTGGCAAGTCAATACGATCCTCTCGGATATATCATCCCATACACTACCCGGGCTAAAATATTAGTACAGCGTTTATGGGACAAGAAACGGGACTGGGACGACCCACACCTGCCAGAGGATCTACTCGCCTTATGGCATGAATGGGAGAAAGAACTGAGTGGACTAGAGGAGATATCCTTAGCCAGGTGCTACTCTCTGTCAGAAGTAGATCACGCATCTTGTAAATATGAGATCCACATCTTCTGTGATGCTTCAGAGCAGGCGTATGGGTCAGTGGCCTATCTGCGAATAGAGCACAAGGAGGGTGAAGTAGAAGTTGCCTTTGTTGCTGCCAGGTCCCGTGTTGCCCCCCGAAAGCAACAATCTATACCAAGACTAGAGTTGTGTGCTGCTTTAAGTGGAGCACAGCTATCCCAACTCCTGAACACTGAGCTTACAGTTCCTATCCACTCCACTACGCTCTGGTCTGACTCTACCACTGTGCTTATGTGGTTGACATCTAGCTCCTGCCGTTACAAGGTATTTGTGGGGACAAGAGTAGCTGAGATCCAAGAGATGACAGCATCCGCTGTCTGGCGCTATGTTCGATCATCAGACAACCCGGCCGATGACATCACTAGAGGCAAATCTCTCCAAAACCTCTCTAAAGACAACAGGTGGAGTCAAGGACCATCTTTCCTTAAGCTCCCTTCTGAGAGCTGGCCAGAACAGCCGCATTTAGCAGCAGAAGGGCCGAACTCTGAACTAAGACAGTCATCCTTCTCTGTTTTAGTAACCACTACTGCTCCCTCAGCTAAACTGCAGCACTTCAACACCCTGACAGAGTGCATGAATGCTTATGGACAGGAGCTTCATGGGGCGGCCTACACCTCCAGTGCTGAACTGCAAAAGGATGTTCAACGTGCAGTTCTCCGTCAAGCACAAGCCGAGTCCTTTCCAGAAGAGCTGAGACTATTGATGTCTGGAAAATCAGTATCATCGAAGAGCAGACTACTCACTCTTTCCCCAGAACTTGATGCTGCTACTGGACTTATTAGAGTAGGAGGCCGGCTACGGCATTGTGAGGTCTTGGAAGCAGATACTATACACCCAGTTGTCCTTGATCCTCGGCACCCAGTCACACTGTTAATCATAAGAGATTATGATGAGAGACTGCATCATCCAGGTACGGAGCGGTTGTTTGCAGAAATCAGAAGGACATACTGGATACTGAGAGGTCGTGAAGCCATCCGACGATACCAACACCAATGTACAGAGTGTAAGAAGTGGAGAGGACGCCCAGAGGTCCCATTGATGGCAGACTTACCCCTTACAAGACAAAGATACTTCCGTCCTGTCTTTTACTCGACTGGGATGGACTGTTTTGGCCCCTTCGTTATTAAGATTGGTCGACGTAATGAGAAGAGGTGGGGTATAGTCTTCAAGTGTATGACCACAAGGGCAGTCCATCTTGATCTTCTCTCTAGTATTGACTCTGACTCATTCTTGATGGCTCTAAGAAGGTTCATAGCCAGAAGAGGCAACCCCCATGAGTTACTGTGTGACCAAGGCACTAATTTTAAGGGAGGAGAACGTGAACTGAATGAGGCCTTTGCTGCTCTCCAAAGTGAGCTACAGAACTATCTCGCTGTTCAGCAAATTAAATTCATCTACAACCCACCAAGTGCCCCTCACTTTGGTGGATGCTGGGAGAGGGAGATCCGTTCGATCAAGGCAGCCCTTAAAGTGACAATTGGAGCCCAGACAGTTACTGAGGAAGTGTTAAGGACCGTCCTGATTGAGGTAGAAGGTATCCTCAACTCTAAGCCTTTAGGATATACCTCCTCTGACGTCGCTGATCTCGACCCAATTACCCCGTTCTGCTTCTTAATTGGTCGCAGGGATGCGTCACTTCCCCAAGTCGTCTATGAGGACTCAGAAATCCTAAGTCGACGGCGGTGGCGTCACAGCCAACTACTTGCAGAGCACTTCTGGAGGCACTTTCTGAAATACTACCTACCTGACCTTCAGGCACGGCAGAAGTGGAAAACCGAGAAGAGGACATTAGAAATTGGGGATGTAGTCATGATAGTTGATCCTCAACTCCCACGTGCACTTTGGCCAGTGGGCAGAATCACACAAGTGTTCCCTGGTGCAGATGGTCGAGTGCGGACTGCTAATGTGGAGGTTAAGGGCAAGACTTATACCCGTATTGTGGCTCGACTTATACAGCTTCCAGCTCTACCTGAGGACGAATAATGCATGTTATGGATCTTTTGTCAGATGAGCGAATTCAGTTCTGAATTCGGGGGCGGCTGTGCAAAAGGACCGCTGATGTCTACGTCCCGGATGACACCAACCAATCAGTGCACAATGCAACGCAGTATCATCGAGGTGGGCTGAGCTAAGAACTAGTTGAGAGCGACAGTGCACACGGGAGATAACGCTGGCGATAACACCTGCTATCGAACTCACTCGGCAAAAAGAGACCAAACAGTCACTACTGGTATACTGTGCTACAGTGTGCGTGTCTTAAAAGTAAGTGATCACTATTTATAAAGTTATTATTGACAGAAGATCAGCTGTTGTTCACGTACCACCTGTAGCAGCTTGTTAGCACAGTACTGCTTATATGACTAGCTTAAACTCGGGAATTACCAAGTGTTTAAGTACAAGTTGTAGTTATATGTTCATATGTACACACTTTAGTATGTCACTGGTGTATGTTTATAGTATATCACGTATGTGCGCGTTATGCGACGATAATTGGCTAACTGCGGTGATCATTCAAGTTGGACATGCCCAGACAAAGACCCTGCCATCATGCGGCATTCATGTGCTCTTGGCGCCCTCTTGTGGACACTCGGAGAATTGCGCCTTTATTATCTACTTTGCCATTATTTTCTTGCTATACTTGTTGTATGCTGCTCAGTTATTAATGTTTATTGTGAAACATCTGTATTGATTATTGTTTATTGTTTATTTGTTTCAGAAACCACACATATGTTCCATTGTATACCAAGTGCTTCAGTAAATGAAAATCACATCTAATACCCTGAGTGCCTCTCTTCAATTAAGTAACCATCTCACTCAGTTCTGACCGACTGCCTATTGTGTTTCACACCCAAATTTAATACATCCTCGAACCCCTCCATTTCAGGCATACTGTTTTTAGTGTACTAAATAGTATGAAAGTATGCAATTTTTGATGCAGCTCATGAGTCTAACTGATTTGAGTTTGAATCACTGACTCAGTTGAAGCAGCTCACTGGAACAGCTTAAAATATGGGTCGCACAAACCTATTAAATATCTTCAAAAGGCTTGGAATACTCCACAAAGGCCCATATTAATGACCTTTATGAAACATTTATAATGTTTTTACATCCTGGCTGTTGAAATCCTCAATTCTCCCATTCTCCAAAATCGCACGGGCAAATGCAGAACGACCAGTACAAATCCCACAAAAATTCACTGGTTTGGAACGGGATGGGAATGAGTAAATACTGACAGAGTTTTGGGGTGGAATCTTCTTTGAAGTTGACTGTAAATCTTCTGGATCTGTCTGCAGTTTTCAGTGCTGCCAGACCAGCTCAGTGGATCTCTTCTCTGACCGCTGATGATGCTCAACTCCACCAAACATACTGGATGTTTTCATGCTCTCAGCTAACTAAACCTGATATCTACTTTTCATCTCATGGCCAATCCCAAGCTCTGATATTATTCTACAATTGCTTAGCTCAGTAATAATCATCAATGTGGATTAATTCCAACAAGAAGTGAGGCCAAGTGTAAAAGGCAAGTTTACACTCATGGCACATTTCACTCACAATGGTAATTCAAAGTGCTTTACGGAAACGAGAATAAAACAAGAAAATAAAAATAATTTAAAAGATTACAATGTGTTAAAACTGGTTTAAAGGAATGTAAAAGAAAAGAAAGACATAATAGTGCGATCTTTCAGACATGGCACAGTGCTCATTCAGTAAAGGCACAGCTAAACAGAAGTGTTTTCAGTCCTGATTTGAACGTGTCCAATGTTGGAGCACATCTGATCATTTATGGAAGCTGATTCCAGCAGCAAGGGCGCTGTTAGCAGCTGAATGCCGATTCACACTGCTTGCAATGAACTTTTTGAATTTCTAGTTATATGATCCTAAAGATCTGAGTGATCTATTAGGTTTGTATTCAGTGAGCATATCTGTAATGTATTGAGGTCCTAGGTCATTTAGTAATTTATAGACAAGTAGTATTATAGACAAGTAGTATCACTTTAAAATCTATTTTGAATCACACCTGAAACTTGCCTACAGCACCTATTAAATGTTGCTCTTATAGTTGTGTAAATTGCTTCCTTGTCCTCATTTGTAAGTCGCTTTGGATAAAAGCGTCGGCTAAATGACTAAATGTAAATGTAACTGGGAGCCTTTGTAAAGACCTGAGAACAGGTGTTACGTGCTGTGAATTTCTGGTTCAGGTCTAAATCCTGGCAACACCGTTCTGGATGAGCTGCAACTGTCTGACTGTCCTTTTGGGAAGGCCTGTGAGGAGGGAGTTACAGTAATCCACCCTGCTGCTGATAAAAGCATGAACAAGTTTCTTTAAGACTTCATTGGAAACGAAGCAACTAATTCTTTCAATGCTTCTGGATGATAGTATCAATATTTTTAAGATGAAATACTATCGTAAAACCCTTACTCCTAGAGCAAGGGTTCTCAACTTTTTTCACTTCAGGGCCCAATTCTTTTTTTCTGATCAATTTTTGAAGGCTCACCTGCTCATATATATATATATATATATATATATATATATATATATATATATATATATATATATATATATATATATATACACATACATACATGCACACACAGTTGCAATCAGAATTATTAAACCTTCTGCATTATTAGCCCCCCCCCCCTTTTTTGTTTATTTATTTTTTCCCAATTTCTGTTTAACGGAGAGAAGATTTCTTCAAGATTTCTAAACATAATAGTTTTAGTAACTCATTTCTAATAGCTGATTATTTTATCTTTGTCATGATGACATTTGACTAGATGTTTTTTAAGACACTTCTATACAGTTTATAGTGACATTTAAAGGCTTTACTAGTTTAGTTAGGTTAACTGGGCAGATTATGGTAATTGGGCAAGTTATTGTATAATGATGGTTTGTTCTGTAGACAATCCAAAAAATATACAGCTTAAAGGGGCTAATAAGTTTGACCCTAAAATGTCTTTTAAAATAATCAATACTGCTTTTATTCTAGCCGAAATAAAACAAATAAGAATAAAAATATTACAACAAGTAAAATATTAAACAGGTAAAGAGTGAGTTAATGATGACAGAACTTTCAGTTGTGGGTAAACTAACTTTATATATATATATATATATATATATATATATATATATATATATATATATATATATATATATATATATATATATATATAAACTAATGGACACATTCAATTATGCAGATTTAGTATGAAATAGCACATGTAAAATGCAGTTGTTAATGTGGGCTACTCTAAACCTACAAAATATTAATCAAGTGCTAAAACTGACGATTTAATCTGCCCTTCTGACACCTCCACACTGATGCATCATGGGAGTTTTGTCTTGTATGAGTCTTTGGGGAAGCGTTTAAAGCTCAATGCTCTTTTCCTGACAGCTCTGTTTTTCCAATCTGACCTCATAAATTTCTCTTATCCTAATCTGAGCGGCGTAAGGCTTTTCAAGCAGGCAGTAACTAAATAAAGCCTTTTTAAAACAAAAAAAAAATGACAAGGTGTTGACAGACATGTTTGTCGCTGCCAGAGCTGAGACAATGAACTATTCATAAAGACCAGATAAAAAGAGGAATCAAAGGAAGACCTTAATCTGGAAGACCATCAGCCCGCTGTCGATATTAACCTGATTTATTAAAGAATATCTTTCTGGTGGAATGACATTTTGCTGGAATGGATTTACTGCATATGTGCAGTCCGGTGAAAAGTGAGTCCCATGATGCCTTGTAGAAGAACATGTTTGATTTCTGATGGTAGTTTTTGGTTGTTAAGCGTTTTGGTTTTTGCATTGAAAGTGACTTGCAGTTCACTAATTGAAGCATGGTCATGTGGCGATGATGAAAAAATCATATTAGCCAATGTGCGTCATGAGCTCACATGATCATATCTGTTTAATGGCTGTAATTCAGTTTTATCCTAATTTACTAACCAGCCAGTGAGCATATGCTTTATCATTCATACTTTTATCCTGCATGTAGAGAGTTTCCCCATAGTAGCCCTGTGGGCAGCAGTGTTGCTACATAACAAGAGGGTCCCAAGATTAAGTCCTGAGTGTTTACATTCAATATTTGAATTTACATTCATGTACAGTGTTTAGTAATTGATTTGATCCAATGTGACATTACAAAAGCAATTTGTCACTTATTTGTCAACTAGCAAAATTTGTAATTAGCAGGTTTTCTTGACAAATACATAGCGAGTTTGTAGGACTCAACTAATGTGATGGACTAAACAGTTCCTTCAACATAAATAACAGCCTGATCTCACGAGGAAACTTACGTATTTTACGTTTTGTCAGTTTAGTGGCTAATTCGTACGAGTTCAATTGTTACAATAAGTTACGAATTGCTGTGAGATTGCGTTGAAAATAACCATAGGTTGTTTCACACTTTCCTAAAATACAACATATAAGAGCATTAACTAAAATAGTGCTCTAGACCAGGGGTTCTCAACCTTTTCCACTCCGGGGCCCACTTCTTTCTCCGATCAATTTTTGAAGGCCTACCTGTCTGATATTTTCTCTAAAATGTTTGTATGAAATACTCATTTAAACCTTATACATATATATACACACACATATATACATACACACACAAACACACACACATATATATATAGAATATATAGAAGTTTTTACGCAGCGGATGCCCTTCCAGCCGCAACCCATCTCTGGGAAACATCCACACACACATTCACACACACTACGGACAATTTAGCCTACCCAATTCACCTGTACCGCATATCCCATGTGAAGGCAGGGAGAACATGCAAACTCCACACAGAAACGCCAACTGAGCCGAGGTTCGAACCAGCGACCTTCTTGCTGTGAGGCGATAGTACTACCTACTGCGTCACTGCCTCGCCCGCCTTCTATTATTTTCTATTATATATATATATAAATTTATTTAAATTTAATAATAAAACTAAAACAATATATTAATATTTAAAAACATTTAAAGAGAAGCACATGTCAAAACGGATATTGCAAAAGACCAGCTTCTGCTTTAAACTGAACTGAATGAAAATCTACAATTAAGTATCCACAGTACTATTCAAAAATATACAGACAATTGTAAAATACAGTAAAAAAACACCAAAATGAGCAGTATTGAAATACAGTAGAGTAGTAGGCCCAGTCAAGCAGCTACAACTCTGCACAGTAAAAAAAATCATGGCAGATTACCTCAGAAATATAGGCTATGTTTCATATATAGCATATTACATACATCATTTTTGGTAAACTTTGAAATGTGGGAAGCATGTACAAGACATATCTCATTCCTCCGCGTACCACTAGAAGGAAGCCTGCGTACCACTAGTGGTACACGTACCACAGTTTGAGAACCACTGGTCTAGGCAATGGGGGTTGGAGAGCGCTGGACGTCCATTGTTAAGAAGCTGCAGGTGTGAGTAGGTCACCAGTAGATGTACAGGCTGCGGACCGAGTCCTATCTGTGGTTCGAGTATCTTCCATTGGAGCATCTTCCTTTTGAACTTGGATTCAGGAAACTCCACTGAAGACATCCATTACTTATTTTTTTCCATAATTCCATTTGTTAAGCAAAAAGATTTGTTTCAAAACTATTTTAAAATTAGTTATAATTTCCAGCAAAATAATGAATGAACAATAACAACAAAGAGGTCATGCATATGTCTCTAAAACCTGATAGGTGGACAAGTCTAAATGAAAAAATTATAAGAAAAAATATAAACATGCATATAATAAACACTACTGCTAATAATAGCATTAAACAAATGTAACT